TTGTTTTTTTTTTTTTTGACTCCACATCTCTGTCGTGCTTCGCGCCCGGCGTGATTCACAGCTGTTTACAGCGGGATGGTCCAAGATGTTTTCCTCTGCCTGTCCGTGGGGGAACCTGAGAGCAGCAGGTTCAGTGTATTCTGTGGCATCAATTCCACCTCTCCGCCCTTCTACCCTGCCCCCCTCCCTCCCAGCTTGTGTGTGTCTCTATGTCTGTGTTAGAAAGCAACACAGGTGAACATTGCAGCAACATTTGTTTAAGGTCATGCATCATCACCTGACGAAATGCCTTAATAAAACTGCTGATTTATCGTTTATTTTTATTAACCTCGTCCCAGAGTGAAGAAATGCATGCTGATGTTACTCACGGAACCAACGAAGGCAAGTCTTTCTAAACTGTTAGGATGTGTTATGTGCAGTTTTAGGATTTAAGCCTCTCAGTTTCCCCTTCCCCACTCCCCCAAAAGAACGTTACACTTTGAATTATTTAACAATATAATTTGCATGGAATTTTTGTTACTCTGAAGTGCAAACTTTAAAGGCCTCCTGAGTATGTGTGATGTAATGAACCTTCTCAATGAGATCTACCATATTTTCTGTAGAAATTAAAAAATGCACTTCAACAGCTGCAGTGTGCTGTGGTCAGTATAACACACACCAAAAAATTCAGCACACACAGACTATGGAGTGCTCTGAACTCCTAAAGGAATAACAATTTAAAATTCATGCTGCTACTCCTCTTCTAAGGTGCAAAATATAACACAGCATATCATGCACTATGTTCCCGCACAATTAGTTAAGATGTCACACTGCATTTAAATACATTTTTTGTAAATTAACCTGTGTTTGCATAGGTTGCTAATTTTTAGGTGGAATTTTTTGAATGCATGGAGTCAAACTAAAGTTGTTGTTGCTCTGTGTTGGCTGCAGAGCTTGCTAGTATGATAAAGGAAATGTGTGCTTGTGTGTATACAGGGGAGCCATATGTACATGTGTCAGTCTAGGTACATGTGTGTGTATGTGTTTGAGCTAAAATATATATGTAGATGTATGTAGTTACACCATAAAATATCAAGTAACCAGCCCATTTTTTATCATAATTACAAAAGCATGAAAACAGGGAAGTAATCTCCTTTGTGAGACACTGCTCAAAATTAATACTGTCATCAAGAAGTATCACAAAGACATTGCTAATCTGCCAGTCTGCTAAGTCTCAAATACTGCAGAAATATTGCTAATTTATTTCTCCTTCCAGATTCTAAGCCTTTGAAATCAAGCATTTCTTTTTTTAAACAGGTATTATTTATCCTCATATAGACTGCTTTTTTACAACCAGTGCTTTTTACTTGAGAGACATAAGAGCTCATCGTGCCAGTCTTCTTTGTAGAAAATTCAGAGACTCACACAGAATGGTTAGAATACTTATAATGCTGCATTATGAGTTACTGAACTTCTTCATTACCTCTCAGGCTGTTCAGGCACAATAGGAGCAACTGAATCAGACATCTGATACATCCAGAGGCACACGATCACTTTGATATTATGTAAAATTCTAATGAGCTTTTCTGAATTGGCAGATAGGCAGAAAGATGTGGTTTTTATGGCAATAGCTGGGGCAGTAGTGCTGGTGATGAAGCATGTGTTGCATAGGACAGGTTTATGAGCTTATGGATTAAATTCTTTCAGTCAGAGGCACGGAAATTCAAGTGCTCCTTGTGTATGTGTGTGTGCGTGTGTGTATGCTTATATAGGTGTCTATGTACATATATGGGTGTGTATGTACATATCTGCATATAACCATATTAACACAGATGGATATGTACATGTTCATGCAAGCCCATCACCAGATGTCACATGTCACCGGATTTACACTTAAATGCAAATGGGTATTTCCAAAGATGTAAGGTGTACCTTCAAAACACCAAGCCCTGTTCTCACAACCACCTCACTTACATTCTGACTTACTCTGAAGTAACTGCAATACACACGTTTTGTTGATTGCTCATTGGAGCACATCAAAAGAGCCAACATGATGGTTATGATGTAGCTGATCATTAGCCATATTACGGATTACATTTTCTAGCTCTCAGACACTTAGTAAGGCCTTAAAATCATCGGGTGTCCATTAAGTATCTGCTTATTCTGAATATTACAAAAATGTATGCAGCAGTTTAGGGCACATTTCCAAGACTTCAACGTGGAAAGTTTAAGCAATGCACAGTTTTGAAAATTCTGCCCAAAATATCACCTGAATTGTCAAAACCAGCAGTTAACACAGCCTGCTCTCTTCCAGTTTACATAATTGAATAAAACTTATTTATTCCAAAGTCACTGTAGAAACATCAGCCTATTGTAAGACATGGAATACAAACACTGACTTCTTCCTCCTAGTTGCCTAATAAATTCCCACTAATGGTCTGCAGATTAGTATGTGATTGTCATGCTTGCTTTCTAATCTTTTTATAGGTCTGCAGACACCTGTGACATAAAGAAGAAATATCCTGCATGGATTTTTTAAGAATAAACAGTCTCTATTGACTTTAAAGAGGAATGCTTATGATTCTCTAATCATTGCAATCAGACCCCCATCCTATCTCCAGCATCCCCACCTTCTGTGTGGAAGACACACAGGAATCCCCCTTAAGCTGCTGTGAGGTACCTAAGAGGGCGTAGTGTTACATAAATTCCATTTTCACACTAAATTATGGCAGAATTCATGTAGAGTTAAACCACCATGGCATGCCAGTACAGCCCAGGCCACCTCTCCTTGTAGAGCAGCATCCCTTTCCTCCCAGCCAGGTAAGTCACTTGACTGTCTTGTCTTTCAATAAAGGTGCCCCATCTTTTCTTTTGTGATCACTATTTCATTTGATAACAACTGCAGATTATACTTCTGCTATGTTAAACCTATAGTGTGCAAAGGAATATCTACCACAAATTACAAACTAAAAAAAGTCAGATTATTAAGAATTCAGTCTCAGAAAAAAATACATTATCAAGCCCACACACAGTCAGTGATTATACCTGGAAACACTGTGTGCTGTTAAATAAGATATATTCATATCTGTAGGTGATACATGTCATTGTCTGACTTCTATTAAACAAACAAACAAAAAAATTACCGTTTCTTGTCATGATTTCACTACCTGTGTTCTGTCTGTGTTGTCTAAACCTGAAAAATAGCCCCCTCCAAAAAAGCAAAGGATCACAATTTAAACACTTTCAGTGTTTGATTCTTGTTCCAGAAATGCATGTGAATGGGTAAACTTATGTGTTTAGAAGGCACTGAGTATATTAACTTCCAAGATTATTAGATAAATCACTAAAACGCTTGACTCTAGGTTAAATGGGGAAATAACTAGCCACATTTCCTGAAGATGATCTAATATGACAGAAAACAGATATGAGTGATGTCCTTCTATATCTGCAGGGTTAAATATGGTAAAATCAATATTTACTGGAAATCATATGAATAATTTACATATTTAAAATTTTATTGTTATTTCTGGAGAATTATGGTTAAAAATAAAAGGCTAAAAATATTATTTGGGGTTGCTGAATAGAAGTGACCAAAATTATAGAGGCAGATCTATGATTTGCATGCTACAAGCTGCCAGTTACTTAATAAAGGATGGAGGCTCCACCTAGCCTTCGGTTCAAAACATGCAAAATATACTAAGCCAGCCTTTCCCCACTGGATTTCCCAGCCCTTCCAGACCTATGCTGAAACCCGAATTATCAGGAAGGCGTGGTCTCTATTTACAGCCCCAAAAGCTTATCAAGGGCCGCAGGGTTAAATAAATACAATGTAAGCTGCTCGCTTTCATTGCATTATATCCAATAGAGCAGCCTTAGCTGAAAGAAAAAATTAAATAAATTCTTATTATTATTTCCCATGGAGCAACAGTGTTCTTAGATGTTACAATGAAGGAGTTTCACCCGTTCCACGGACCAGTGTGGACCGTGGTTGTTGAAGGATTTTGACCACATTTTTGGTGGATAGAGAGATGCAAGGGGACACTCCTGGGCCGTAGTGAGCGGCTGGGCTGCACCCTTCTGCCAGGTACACTCCTGAGTTGAGTCGCTTTGGCCAGGATGGATTTGGAGAACCCGGGAAGTGATGGCTGCTTGTTCTGAGTGATCCACTATGTGGGAGGCACTGGATGAACTAACTGCTGCGAGCAATCCCTTGTACCTCGACCAGCTGCAAGATATGCCTCCAACTTCTCTCCTTCCCCCTCCTTTTTTTTTCCTGCCCATTTCCCTCCCCCCTTCAAGTTTTTTTCTCCAGTTTTTTTTTTTTGTTTTGTTGTTGTTGTTTGGTTATTTTTTTAAGCTCAACTATGTAAAGGCCTGTTATACTTCAGCCCTGTGACTGTTTGTTCCTGTGTCTGCACACCTGCACACCTTTTGAGGGCACCCAGGCATTGCAAAAAAAAGCTCCCTCAGAAGCCATAGCTTGGCAACTGCTGGTAGTCTGCCAGATAATTAACATTTCTCGCAACCAAATACAGCTCCACGACCAACAGGTTTATCTTCAGACACACAAAACCAGCTCACCAGCATAAGACACTGTGTCCAGTCATAAAACCCTGCCTTGTTAATCAAATGTCCCTTGCCAGGAGCAAGAGTTCTGTCGGGGAGACCCTGTCCGGCTACCCGGGGAGAGGCGGCCTCCACGGGCTCACAGGGATCTGGGAAACCTCCACCTGTCCGGGGCTCAGCACCCGAAATTTTGCCAGGAATTCAGGACACCAACACACATACATAAACACTTGCGGTACTTACATTTCTTCGCCTTTATCAGGGAAAGATGTGACCCCAGATCTAGGGGGAAAGCTGAGCCAACGATGACAAACAAAGATCCCCACGGCCAAGGCCCCTCAGATCAGAGAAAGCTCTCCCAATTTTCCATAAATTCACGTCTTTCCCCTCGCCATCCCTATGTAAAAGTGCTGCTTAGCTCCACAGTATTATTCTTGTTCCAAGGACTCTAAAAGAGTTAGAAATGTTCCATCCAGAAAAATGGGAGAGAAACACAGAAAGTTGGCTTGGGTTTGCCTTATATTTTTCCTTTTTTTCTGCAATGCTTCCTATGCCCCGGAGTAGAAAGTGAACTGTTGTATGTGAGGCTCTGCAAGTTTTTTGGGGGAGTTGGCCAAGGTCTAGTCCAGCCCTCTCTGCTGAGGAGGACGTGCTCTGAAATTCAAGCAATTTCCCCAACGCTTTTGTTGCTGATGAACTGAAGCCCTATTGTTCATCCATTGCCACGGTCTTTTTCAGTTCCTATTATAGGTTGTATGTTGCCAGAGATAATGAATTTGCACCAAAAACCTCTCATAGTCCCATTTTGACAGATGGAACAAATTAAAAATGTCTAGTGTAAAGAAGAGCAATGGCTACCTCTTCCTAGAGAAGAAGGGAAGCTTGCATTTCTTTGGAAACTTAGGAAAAAAAAAAAAGTGAAGCAAAAGGTCGAGTGTTCTAAGGTGTTTTCGTTCAGCTAAATTCCAGAAGAAGAGTTTCATCCGAGTCTTGTTTTTGGAAGGCACTGCCATTTGTGCAACTTTTGTCCAAACCAAGTAGCCGGTCAACAGCAGGAAAAAAAAAAAAAAAGAAAAAAATTAGAAAAAAAATCGTAACAAAAAATACCCTTCTCCCATCCCTGCTTTCATGCGAACTTGTAGCGTGACCTCTCGTCGCTGGAAGGAGGGTGTCCTAAAGAGCTGCCCGTTCCTTCTATCCCCACTCATCCATCGCTCTGGGTTTGGAAACAGCGTGAAAACGCCCGTAAAAGCCCCGGCTAGGTTTTAGGGCGCAGGGGGCGGGTGGGGAGAAGTTTGGATGTGCGCCGGAATGGGAGGTGTGCAGAGAGGAAGGGATGGAGGCAGGGATGGAGGAGGGATAGAAGGAGAAAGGTGCAGGGCGAGGGGGCGGCAGGATGGCTCGTTCCTGCACCAGCCCCCGCCTGGGGGGCGTGTGGGGTGTGACGCCTGGGGGGCGTGTGGGGTGGTGTCGTGTTGGTCCCTCACAGTGAGTCTGCTTTACGCGACGCCGCGAGTGGGCAGTTGTCAAGGAGGGTATGTGTGTGGGGAGGGGG